TACCACGGAGCCAGCGTATTCGAATCCCATGATCACTGCTCGATTACTGGCATCTGTAAATCCTACGTAACCCTTTGAGAGATTACAACATTCTCACTGTAAGGGAGTAGTGATCGGAGAAAACACTAAAGCTAAAACTTGCATTCGACCGCTTTCAGGTTGGTTATGAGGCAATTTATAAAGTCATTTCATCGAATTAACACAGACATATAGATCGAGTTCGCATCCTGTCATACAGACGCACGCTGACCTGTATATTGTTCAAATGTTTGTCCGACTGTTGATGAATGGCCAAATTCCCCTTCGTAGTGGTTGAGTAGTTGCACACTTCACATCGATACGGCTTGTAGCCACACACATAGCTCTCACCACGACCGAGGCGCGGGTGTGTGGTTTTGGTCAAACAGTACGGACAGAGTTTCAGTGTGCCCATAATTGCATTCGATACGGACAAAGGGGATGTGTACTGATCCGACGAGACCATCTGATTTGAGTAGCAGGGCAGGAGGCGCTGAAGAGTAGACGGGCAAGAAAGGTGAGGAAGCGGTACGATGACTTTACTGATGACACATAGGATGAGATCAACAGAGAGGTTTTTTTTCGATAGATTGCAGAGTAATACGGAACGCATTAACATGAAGTTACCTGCATAGTTACTTAAGATTAGTGGTGTGAAGTAAATGATATTGGTTCAAGTGACCAACCTTTATACTTTACCTTCACCCATCCGAGGATAAAACTGTTTGAATGAACTGGGTTATGAAGACGAAGTCTGAAGGAGGGTCCCGTAGAATCAATATAGTATTCGTCCAAGTGAGAATGTTCTCCACTGTCTGTACCACGGAGATTTTTTAATTTTTTAATTTTTTTTACGTTTTTTGTGATAAGCGGGAGACGGGGTGAATTCCATAATGGCGTAGATCTGCTGTTCAGGGATGGAAATCGGCAACACAAACCCCGGAACTTGGAGTGCCAAACCACATAGGGCCCTATGAGGTTAGGGGTGGTATTGAACCGGACGACAGCAAAGCTGCCTATCATCAAAGTTGGTTGAATGTGTTGGGGTTCGCACCTCAGACCCCAGGGTTCAAAGTACGCCGATTACAGCGGCTAGAACCACTGTGCCACTAGCGCACAGATTTGCTTGCCTTGTGGAAACAGCACTGACGATTGCGATCAATTTCTTGGAGATGATGAATAAATAGGAATGGACCTCAAGATTTTTCGATAAGCCTTCTAATTGTTTTTCCCCACCGTTTGACCTTAGTTCAAACTCGTTCGCACGGAATAAAAGTGAATATATGAAATCAAAATACCCATTCACCCAGGGTGTAGGCCTTTAGCCGTGTAGTTCGGGGTAAGTGTTTCGGTTCCATTCTTGATATGAATCACGATTCGAGTGCAAGTAGCGATAAAAAGACGGTACACGCATAAACTGATGCGCCCAAACAGAGGCCAACCTACTGTCCAATGCGGTCTGTCGACGACTTTATGCTCAATAAGAAGGTACCGAAACATACGAAGAATAGATCACCCCGAAAAGTGGAACCCACATAAGTGAAACGATAAGCAGGCATACGTGTTCGTGAAATCACATGGAACAGATGAGAAATCTAAGTCACAATATTATCATTGGCATCTTAGGGAGTTACTTTGAGATATGCCAATCTGGAGGAAACGTTACAAAGATTCTATAACCTTTTTTATTATGACAACAGAGCCGACTTGACGATTTCGCAGGATGCAGCCTGTAAATGACTTAATAAAAAATTACCGAGAAGCACACGATTAACGAGAACGGCGATAATGGTCGTGTAGAACGTTTACATTGTAGGTAATTTTCTGTATTGCAGACGCTGAATTTCACGATTCTATGCGGCATTCTTTTAGAATTTCTACTCTGTCTGAAGAGACATTCCCACCAGGACAATCAGCATCGCATCAATTAGATTCCCAAATCTGCATGACAGCATTTCCCCTCCAAAAATGCTTAATATCAATTGAAATTCAAGTACAGGATGCAACAATACTCGTCCATGTTATTCAAATTTCTATAGAAAAAGAACTCTTGAGCATTTCCTTATTGTATAGTGATATTTCTAGGCATCTAAAAGATTTGCTGATCAAATCTATTTTTCCTGGTCAATAAAAAGCAAAACCGTCAGCACTCTCGATCAGTAGTCCTCCTGTGTTCTAACTCACTGATATAAAACAAGCCAGCACATTGAGTCAAACTATCACAGTGAATGAATCTTTGCGTGCAAATAGGGATTACTCAAGGAAGACGTAAAACGTTAACTCTATGGAGGCAACATTGAGTGCATCAACAACCATTCTTAAGTCTCTTCAAGATTCCATTGAACTCCGAACTGTTTCGGAAAGTATGGTGGTACTCTGACAAAGAATGATAAATTTTAACTCGATTTTCATTTATTTGCTCCTCAATGTAACACACTGATTGCTTAACAATAGGCGGTTCATCGGGAGAGATTCTTGTATGGGTATATTTATCAATGATTGACGGAGTGAATATTTAGTGATATCGTTTTCAATTTTCCCCTTTAAATTCGCTTTGTGAACGATAGTTTTAGTTTTACGTACGATGAGCATTTGATATGTTTTAGAACTTTTAAGCTCAACCGATCCGCATTCCTTTTTATCTGGGGGAAGTAAAAAGCTACAACATGGTAATACCCATATATACACAAATTATGAGACACCTAAATAGGGCATTGCAAAGTTCTGCTTATCAAAAAACAGCATGGTTTACAAACGCGGGCTTGTGAGAACTCCTTTTCTTTGGGCTAGAAAACTTGTTCATTTCGTAAACTGTAAGAAGTGGAGTTGCTAAGATGAACAATAATAAATAATGGTTACGCAGAAAGATTTATAGACGGCCACATTAGACACTTCCGAAAGATTATGCAGCTCAAAGTGACAGCAAAAGGCCGTCTACATAAAGCTTTCTTTCTAAATTGACCACGTTTAAAACGATGCTCTCGGAAAAGGGTGAAGTCAGCTGTAGACCACACATTCACAGCTGCTCAACTCAGACTTAATGCCCCTACTCCTAAGAATGGATCTGGCCAAACGTAAACAAGGTTGGAAAAGCGGTTCTGTCACACACACACACACACACACTGGGTACCAATCCATCTGCAGTTGCGGTAACACCTCCACTGGCCGCACAAACTGTCAACTATCACACCGGATGGTTGAACATATTCCGAAGTGGGTGAAAAAGTCGATTACGAAACCGATAACTGGCGGTCAGGCTATCAGAACAAACCTGGCTTCATCTGTCGCAGAATATATCACGGCAAGAAGATACACAGGTGACTCTCTCTCTCGTATTTCAAACCACCACCGTTACTTTACCGAAATTCCAAACTTTTGCTAATTTGTGACGTGTTACTAATTCGACCACAGCCCAATTTGGTGCGCCCACTTTCCGTGGAGCTGACCTTTCTCTTCTGTTTTTGTTAGCCTTTGCATGTACACGTTTGTTCACTATGATTCATCAACCCAATGTGCCATATGTATGCCAGCTGGTTTCACATTTAGCGATTGAGAAAATTAAACGAAATGTTAACAACTTTCGAGATTTGTATTCATTCGTTATGAATGCAATAGACATGAGGGACCTCATTTTCAAATATTCGTTTTATTCCCTAAAGCCATCTGATCTTCCAAAGTGGACTGAAAAGCGGGACATGCTTCGCGTTGTCGGGGGCTCATTAGCACTAGGATTCGTATCCGAATGCGAAAGGTTGTTTATTTCCCTTATTATTCAGCTGATCTGACCGAAATGAGTTGACTCAGCTTGATAAATTCATGACTCATTTTTTCGATTCCCTCTCATACGATGAGTTTACGCTGAGCGAGTAAATTGTTTTGTAGCACAATGGGTATTTGGTCTCGTGGATCAAAAGAAGGGACCTTCACAGCTGCTCGTAAGCTACGGGCACAGTTCACCTAATTAATTCGAATATGTGCGTTACTGGCATATAATGTGTATATAGAGAGAGAGAAAATATCAGTTTTTCACTCTCTTTGTATTCGACAGAGCAGATAGAGCCTACTGGAAACATGTACGAGGTAGATCGTAAAACTGTCTCCCATTGCGCTTCAACAAAAGGTTGGAATATCACTAATCATCCAGAGATCTTTAAGACGTTTAAACAGTGTATAAGCCCGGTCGCTCTGATGAGTTCAACAAGATGCCTTGAAATGATGCTGATACATCTCGATTCGATACTTAAACGATAAAACTAATGATTAATCCCCTCAGTATCAAAAAGCATAGCATACAGTGCAATTGGTCAAATCTGTTAAAAGAAAAATGCATACCGCACGAAGCAACACATACAAAGAATGGAAGTAGTTAAACAAACGCTTAAATCTATGGAAAAACGTATTCAAGCTCCAAAAAATGGAAGAGATTAGATCAGTAAGCTGAGTGGCTTATTAGCACTCGGCAGGTTCTCAACTCGACCCCCACTCTAGATGATTGGATCACCAAACAGAAAGGGAATATTTTGCACGAATAGTCTAGTTACAAAATACTATCACCTTATACCTTTGCACTGCCGGTTTTTGTTTGTTGGCTTGAACCATAAATATTACATATGAGCCGAGCTTTGTTGATTCTTGGGCGAATTTTTCCGTTGAAACCTATTTTCTAATTTTTTGAAGCCATGCTGTTAGCCTTAGGTTTTCTTTGCACTTGAAAATACACTCAACTTATTGAACAGCTGAGGATTTGTACGAATCTGTTACTCAGCTGTCAAAATAGATGCAATACAACAGCAAGCTTGCCATGTGTTCATGCAAGTGCACCTCGGAGTAAATTTTTAAATTATATACAGTTAATCAGTGATGACTAACGTAACCCGAAAAATTTCCTCTTAATAGAATTGCGGAGTGCAACTGAAATCACTGGAAAAACCGCAAAGTAGTTGTTTTTCTTTCACAACCAAGTTATTTAATCATCTAAAGTAATTAAAAATAATACGAATTATATAATGACAAGGGATTTCGCGCAAATTCTTTGTGCATCTCATTTTTATTACTAATCAAAGTTAGCATTTAATATAATTAGAAAATATAAGTCGCAAGCATCATTCTATCGAAATGAGTTGTATGACGAGCTTCTCACAAATCCGCACAGTAATAGTCCATCGGCTTAGACATCTATCAAATCGACTTGATATGTTGTATTCAAATTTCACCCCTTCCGTCTAATATCCCTGCTTAAATGTATATATGCACTGTAATTCTTGTGATATTTCAATCACATAATTAATCACGAATGCATTAATCTCTTTTGATCAACATTTACAAATGTGAAACGGCTTAAAAATCGGTGGATATTCACCCCAGTCAAGTTCAACCCACTCAGCTTGCACATGGGAACCGATTCCGTTGCTTTCATACACATTTGACTGCTTGCTGACAAGCTGTATATATGTGAGTGAGAACTTGGCGATAACCGATCGCAGATTTTATTCTTCATTTGAATTTAATCATTAAGACAAAGAGATTTACTGATCATAGGCGTCTAATAATCTCAATCCGGTTGCAATTACAGATCGATAAGACATTTATCTTTCACATGGCGTGAATGTTCCATCCAGT